ATTCACAGTGGCAATCACGCTAAAAGACCTACTTAGTTTTCCGACTTTGCTACTCGTTAGGGGGAGAGTGCAGACGAGCCAGAGGATTAATTACACGTTAGTTTGTTCACAGTGGTTCAAACAGCAGATGAAAATACATCTTCAAGTAAGAGAATATAGTATGCAGGGAAATGGCAGAACTCAGATGGAAAGCAAAGGAAGTCTTAGGATCGATAAGAAGTCGGCAATTGAAATTCGTATGGTAACTAGGAATAATAACATGACCCAGTCAAGTGGTCCGAGGGTGTCGATCTATCATTTATGCAGAGTGCAATCGTGTAGAGTCACGAAATGGTGAAATAACGTGCTTCTAGAGTAATAGTAGCAGGTGTAAGGAATATGGCGAATAATCAAGCCATTTTATATTTAAAATTAGTAATGAATTTGAGAAATAAAGATGAAATTAATTATCCAGTGATTAAAAATTATTCCTTGCCTTTTTGTCGATAAAAAGATTTGAAAAATTATGCCTATTTAAATAATATAAATGACGATACGATGAATAATGAAACCAATTAACCCTTCATCTGTAATCTAGGTCAGGAATAAGTGAAATTTTCTAATTAAATAGTTCTGTTTCTTTTCATTTTTTATTAATATATAATTTCTTTGAATTCAAAAAATTTTTTACCAAAAAATATTCAGTAAAAATCAGCTTAAATATGATTAAAATCAATTTATTGAAATTAAAGATTTATTATTTGGAAATTTTTTTAGACTATAGCAATAAAAAAGATATAAAGCTGGTAAATCCATATTGCAAACTGTGATTTAATGCTGACTATTAGTGAATCAACAGAATAAAAACAAGAGAATCCTACATAAAAATATGAATTACATGAATACTGATATAACCAAAAAATGAACTAGGATTATATTTATAATTACTAGTGAAAATACAAAATAAAGAACAAAAAAAAATGAATAAATAAATTAATGAATATGCCAGTACGATCAATTAAAATTCATAATACATCCATGCTTTTAATGATGATGATGGTGATGATTAAAAAAAAAATAAATTAATATTGAATAACATGAAAAAATACTTTCAAGTACACTTGAATATATGACATTTTATTTTTTGGATAATTTTCGAGCATAAAACTCGAATGAAAAGCCAAGAATTTGAATATTGAAGATTAAAGTAAAAAATGTAAAAATACTTTTTTTCTCTTTCTTTAGCAACAAAAGAAGTAATTAAAAAGATAAAGAACCTATTAAAATGATTTCTGATGATAAATAAATTAAAGGAATTCATTTACTAGATTAACATCATAGATTTGTGAAGCCGAATGAATTACTAAATGAAAAATGAATAAAGTCTAATGATAAGACAATCAATGAATTATGAATATAAATTTGATATCCCTCATCGTTTGAAATCCTGGGCATTTAGCGAGTATACAGAGAAGACAATAGATTGAATAATCAATTTCATTGCCAAATCGAGTGAGAATTTATTTATAAACCCGAGAGGTTGGGTTATTATGGATTTGGATATAAAGTCAGTAACAGACGTCGAGTGGCTTTTGAGATATTAAACCGAGAATATTGCAGACAAAACAAGAGATGAGAGGGGGAGAGGGAGTCAGTCGAAATGGAGATGATCTTGTGGTGAGTATACACCTATTGCTATCGGTCCATTACTGCTTCTAGATGATGGAAGACGACTGGCCAATGGCCATTATCCTCTCTGTTGGTACTAAGATGTTTGTCCCATCCTTCTACGTCATCTCTGTCTCTTTTAACAGTCGAACCATTGCCCTAAGAGTCCAGAGGGATTGCTAAAGCATCTCGTAAGACTGTCCCATTATTGAGATAACTGACCTTCTTTCTTAATGTCTACAGTGGTCATTTAATCCTTTTAAAAGACACTTATCCTACTTCTATATATTTTTATTTATATTTATGTATATTCCTGGGACCTTTTAGGGGGTTTTTTTTATATCCATAAAACCACACTTCAATAAATTTACATCTCAAATATGTCATAGTGAAATATAACCTGGGCCCATCAGAAGGATGAAGGAAAAGAATCTGTCAATTTTCTTATTTTATTCATCTCTTTTAGAGAGACCATTTCGAGTCTTCAAACTTTTATCAAGCTTGTCGGCATCAAGTCAAATAGTGCGACTAAGTTTTCAAAATTCTTTTTCAACTTACTTTCAAGAACATTTCACTATGAATTAAATAATCTAATTAATTTTAATGACATTATATATCTGTTGAAGACTTATTCAACTCTGACAGCAATTACCAAGAATTATTTTTAGCAAAGTTTTCATATGATGATTTAATACACGCCTAAAGGCTAAAAAAAGTATTACAAACCATAATTTACAATAAGTCAGATTTAAATTTATGTAATTTTAATATTTTAATTAACTCAAGTAATATTAGAAACCAAGCGTTTTTTTTTTTCTTTAAATTTATTTCAACATTAAAAATATTTCAACAGATTAAATAGTTTTCTAATATAAAAATCAGTATAATAATAATTACATAAATTTAATTATATTCATAACTTATAATGTTAAAACATAAATTGGATTTTAATCATTAAATCTCAAATGACTGTTTATTAATTAAACAATTATCTCATAATCCTATCACATACATGCGGTGTAAATGTCTAAAACCTGTTGACCTAGCAAATTGAACGGTAGTGAGTTAAGATAAATTTAAAAGACTACCTCGCTTTAGCACCTTAGTATTTTTTACGTAATGGTTTGTAGTTGTCGATAAACGTGAGAAACTACGTGACATGTTTTCGCTTTAAACAATAGACTCACTAAATAGGATAAGAAGTGTAACAAACAAGTGCCCTTGTAATTCAGCAGGTGCCAGTGATAATTACAAACGTTCGGATGCTCTGAAAGTTCCTTGAAAAAAAACCTCAAAAGCTAATCCCACTTCTCCTTATCTCTTCCAACAGTTTTAACATTTTTCTCTTTCATTGAATATCTTTTTCTTAACTCGATTTAGTGTCAAAATGACACTTCCGCTTGTTAGAAGACCCACAATTCAAGTACCGGAGCGTGGCAGGTGATCCAAAAGAATGCCGGAAAGTTTTCTCTCAAGTCGACTGTGCCGTGATCTTCTTCCACTCCTAACAATCTACCTGGAACAAGAGGTTGTCATTGATTCTGTCTATTGTGTGAGCGGGAAAGAAAAAAAAGATACGGACCATTTTCCTGAATTGCAAGACGGTCTCTGTCAAAATGATAGGTAAAGGTATGAAAGACGATAGACTCTTGTCGGACAGGTCCTACACCATGGATCCTAACAAAGCCATCAACAATGAAGACAAGATACGCACCACTTGGGGGTGCCGACACTCAACTATCGTCAAATTTACCAGCAATATTTTTGAAAAGCACCAATTGTCTTGGAAACTATTTCGTTTTTTTTTTTTATTTCAAGCTCTTGATCCATTTTTTACACTTTTCCTTAAGATCTACTTGGAATTCTAGAGGTGGGACTCTTGAGAAGAGAAAAAGAAAAAGAGAGAAAAACCCCTGTACACCAGAGAGAATTCATTTATTGCTAAGAAATTTATTTATTCGTTTAGAAAAAGATATTTTAAACCGATAAATAATATTTTATTATAAATTATTAAAATATTTTTAAAACATCAAATGCTATTTGATTATATTGAAGAATTGAAAAACAATTTTTACCTTCAAAAATATGTTAAATAAACTTCAATAAAAAAATAAATAAATAATGGAATCTCTAGTTAAATGTTAACAAGATTCTCTACAATTGTTGGATTATTTTAGTATGTTTCACAGCCTTTTCTGAGATCTTCCGCGGATAAAATATTAAAACAAAATGAATATTTATTGTCAGAAGAAGTTGTAAGAGATAAAAAAAAGGCGAATAAATAATACAAAGCGTTGAGGATGTAATATTTAATGTTTCACAGCATGAGTCCCGGAAGTTGATCTCGTATACTCAGAAGCACAATTGTATGACGTCGTAGCTCCATAAGTTTTCCACCCCCTTGAGAGTTTTGTGCACGAAACCACGACGGTGTCGTCAAGACACGCTCCACAGAACACCGCGGAGACTTATCGAAGGCGTGAGCGGAATCGAGGACATGAAACTCGACATTTTGCTGTTGAAATCTACCACCTACTCCCCCTTAACACACTAGTCTAACTAACATATCTACGATGAGAAATGCGAAGCTTGGAAATATTTTGTACGCAAGTCGCGTCAGTTTATATACTCATTTTATAATTACTCTAGACCATCTAAATGTCAATAAATTTATTTTATGCTTCGTGTAATAGAGAACACGAACGTAAGAGGTGAAAGACGCTTTTTATACCATATTCTACGAAATATCATAATAATTAAAGCAAAAATGTTTTAATTAAGATAAAAAAAAAGGTCGATTAAAGATTGTGATTAAATGGGATTATTAATTTAATATTTATAATAAAAATAGAAATAATGGCGTCAATGTGAACTTTTAAATTAAATTTGAATGAATTGAAATAATTTTTAATCAATATTTTTGCCATTTTTATAATTAAATTCTGATTTAGAGAACTCACGTGCACTTTTTTAATTTTCTCTTTCACCTAATAATGCACCTTGAATGCATTATCTATTTTTTTCTTTTATTCATATTCTCTGGGGGAACTCATAATTTTACAAGATTATCAGAGCTTGTGACTATAATAAAGTGAGATAAGTTAAAAATTCTGAGGATGATAATCAATATAATACAAAGTGTAAAAAAGAGAAAAAAAGTGGCTCATTGCATGAGAATTTTTTTTCATGACAATCTGTATGGCATATACATGTTGGATAGTCTACGTGACTTTTTGTTGTAGATTATAAAAATAAAAATCCTACAATGCCATTAACACTAAAAAGTCATGTAAAAAAGTGCAATTATAACTTAAGTATACTGCGTTAAAAGAAAGTATTAAATTAGTACTCACCAGACTCCAAGGTAGACGTTGTTCCATGGTTTTATTATCACACTATGAGATGAGAGAATCCATATAGTAAAAAATTCCAATTCACTCAAGCGCGAGTTGATCCGAAAAGTCGCAGAGGGTAAATCACTGGTCAAGATACGAAAGTTTGCTTCAATAAATTCTTCTCAAACCGATCTCACGTTACACTCTCGTTATCCAATATTTTTTACACTCACTACACGTCACCTAGACACAATTAAAAAACTTATCAGTAATTATATTAATTAGTTTATTACAAATGAATAAAATGAAAAAAATTTTTATAATTATTATCACAAAAGTTTTAATTAAATGCTAGAAGTTCACTTGAATTGTTTTTTTTTTGTTATTTATCAGTAGCCAGAAAATTTTTTATGATTTATTAAAAAATAGTTCATAGAATAAGTTATATTAACGAAATATTTTAATTAAATTTTTTTCAAATTTCACAAACTTTTATTAAATAAATTTTCCAAAATAAAAGTGAATAAATTTCAAAAGAATCTTGAAAAAAAAAAAGAAACCAAGAAGTAACAATTTAATTTCAATTAAATTATTTTCCACTTTTATTGCATAAATTTTTTCATGACTTTTATAAATAAATATAACAAATAATTTTTAAACTCACATTAATGAAAAATCGAAACAATATTACTGTTGAACATGAAAAAAACTTATGTACTCATTGGAGAATCGACCGCGTGGTTACGTCAATGAAACGAAAAGCTTTCGTAGCTACAGAGCAGACGTTAACGGGCCGAAGTGCACGGCGCGAGTGCCGGCAGAGCGTCACGAGTGCCTTCGTTTAGGGCCTTCGAGGGAGAGAAACTACGAGAGTGCGCGCGAGTAGAGGGGAGAGGGTTGGTGGTAAAGATAGGCACTCGTCCGCAATACTTTCCCCCTCTTTCCTCCCTTAGAGAAGTCTGACCAAGTGCTAGCTCATCTCTCCATCCCGCGGCCTGTCGTCACATCCATCCCTCTCGTTCACCAGTTACTCCACTTCACGGCTCACCCAGTGTCGAGAGGATGAACACAGAATCCCCTGGCTTTAGTGTGAGGGAGGATGAGGTCGTGGATCTGCAAGGTCGAATCTATCCTATTGCCTCAGGAGTTAACTCTCTAGTCGTTGTGACACTCTTCTGAAGGACATTCGACCAATCCATTTTTTTTTTCAACAGAATTTCTCCTTTTTTACCAAATTCTTTCATTTATATTTACTTTTCTTTTTCTCGTTATAAAAAAATTGACTTATATATTTGATCCAAATGGATTATACGCCGTGAATAAAAATGGAAAAAATTGTCGCAGTGAAAATTGAGGAAAGAAATTAAGAGAGAAAAAATGAGATAAAAATCTCTATTTTTCTTAACTTGATTTCTTATTTCATTTGCAATTACTAGAATTCCTTTTCTTTTTCTCTTCTCACATAATCATAACGATCAGCCAATATTACAGTTCAACATTTGCAACGTCATTCTACAAACCTATTAATAAACTTCTTCAATAAAAATCCAAACTTTTTTTATCGAATTTTTTTTTTTGGAAAAACTATTTAAATGAATATAATTTATTTCATTTTTTTTTTTTACTGATATACGAAAAAAATATTTCATCTTTACCTTCTCATCAATTTTAACGTTCAAATATTCATTCCATTAATTAAAATTTTTTATCAGATTTGACATCTATCTCTGGTTTTGATACAGAAATAAAAAAAATTTAATACATAAAAAAAAAGAAACGTCCATTAAAATACTGGAGAATTTTAAAAGGCTTACGCTCTTCAGAAAGGTTTTCGTTTTTAAGATATCAAAAATTATGAACAGATTATAGAATTACTTAAGTAGTGTAAATATTAAACGAATAAATATTGTTAAATAAAATCATAATAATTTTAATTATTTCTTTTTAAGTAGCTTAACAGCACTTAATTAATACTTATTAAATAAGTTTGAATAAAATTTCAAACAGGCTTGGTATTTGTCATTAAATTTTAATCCTTTAAAAATAACAATCTTGAAGAAATTTTTTTTTATTCAAAATGTTATGTTAAAAATTCTAATCAACAGCATCAGAACAATGTTCTACTATTATTTTCATCAGATAATGAATGTAATCGTGATAAATAAAACTAAATTACATGCTGTAATTAATTTTCATATTGGAACCAAATCATCTTAGAACAATGCCTATTGACTTATTTGACTATTAATAATTATGTCAGGAGTAAATTCATGACAGTGTTGAAGGTAATTGAAGTAGATTGAGGCCAAGCAAAGGTTATACTATGAAGAGGTGTTGGAGCCATATATAGGATTGGGGTGCAAAATGTTGCGGTTGACCACGAGACCACCACTGATGCGCGCGTGGTCAAGTGCCACGCGTATACAAATGTACTTCGACCACTCGTGAGCAAACAATTCTTAATTGTCTTCTCATTGTGGTAATTTAATTAAATTCAGACGAAATTAGAAACAACTTGTAATGAGTTGAGAAAATGCAAAAATTATACCCATTTGACTTGTAACATTCAGAGGTGTTAATACAGAAAGAGATAACAAAAAAATTCATTTAAAAGCTACGTATTTTCACTTTGGTTCCAATTAATTTGAACGTTAATCCCAGACACTCTGTAAGCATCATCATGGCTTCTCTCACGCATTCCCTGGTTTCTTTTGGTGGATAAAAATTGTTAAGAATCTCCATGATATTACTCCGTGGTGAATACACTTTCTATTAAAGTGTATATACACTGACAAAGAAGAAACAAAAAGTTCTAAGGACTGAGTGAGATAAGCACTGCGTGCTCGAGTAGCTGAGGGGTTGCATACCTTCAAAAATAAAGTGTACTTTATATTTTTTCTTCAAAAAAATTGTCTCAAGTTTATAAGACTTTACGAGCGTAAAGTATATATGTATAGAAGTATTCACACGACTGATGATGTAAAGAAAAATTTTTGTGTGGTTAATAAACTTTCGATTTACTTGGTAATTTTTTATAAGTATCATACGTCTTTAAATAGTATTTGAATATAATTATCTTGAAAAAATTTTGCAAACATTGACCAGAATGTTAATCAAGAACCAATAACTAGAATAGATCTCTATTTTTATAAGCAATAAAAAAAAAGGTTTAAAAAAAAATGTTAAACAACCCCAAGTAATTCTTTGCTATTAAAATTAATTGGCAGACACTGTACAAAGACACTGGGACGCTAAAAATAAAAAAAATAAAAAATCATTATTAAAATTTTTTAGAGCTGAAAAATGTTGAAAAGATTATAAATAAAGACAATTGTTGTCAAGAAGTGGAGAATACTCAAGGCTACTAATACCAAAAATTTATCTCATGATTTCTTATTTGATGATAACATTAGAAGTTGACAAGACAATTTAGTAGAAGAATAATCAAAAAGTTAGTACAAACTTCTGATTAGTCGAAGCAGCTGTTTTCACACGTGTCTAGCATAAAGAACGACATTATTGGTGTTATCTTTCCTATACAAAAATTCTTTAAGCTGCTTGACGTCTTTTATATGTATTCTACGATTTCTTTTACATGCATATAAACTTGTAGATTACATGTTTTTTTGCGTGTTGCGATAACTCAGAGTACAGAACAGAAAAACCCAATGTCTTGGTTTCATGAAGTTTATGACTCTTTTAGTGTGACTTTTCTCAAGAAATAATATTATGAAAATCCATGGAAAATCAGTAAAATCTTTTCTACTGCAATTTTTATGGTAAATAAAAAATTCAATTCAACAATGAGATATTTCAAACGTAAAAAATGAATGAAAGAATTATTTTCACTGAAATAAATGAAATTTTATCATTGAAAAGAAGAGAAAATTTGATGAAAATTCTTTAACAAGATTATTAAGAAAATTTATAATTTAAACTTTAATTAAGAAAAAATCTCACTACATCTTTATCGAGTTACCCAAACGAATTTCAAGTTAATTAGAAGAAAAAAATAACATTTGTCTATATAGCATTTATTTCATGATTTTTATGTCATTTGGAGGTTGGCTTTCATTCAGCGTAAATGATTAAAGTTTTCCGTACATAAAAGTTAGAGGTAAGTACTTAAACAGTGGGGAAACGAACAAAGACATTTTCATTCGTCGAAGTAGGGTTTAAAACACGACGAAGAAAACAACCACTTTTCGTTTTAAGAGTTAGAAAAAACTTCTTTTCCCAACGAAACAACTTTTCCCTGTCAGTAAATGTACTAACTACCATTCAATTTGGAGCATCCGTTAGAAAATTTGCTAAATCAAGTCTATAAAATAATTATTTCAAATAAAAATCTTATTTTTGCTTGTTAAAATTCTTAAAAAATATTTAAATACTATTAAGCAAGTGAATAATAGAATAATAACGTTAATAATGCGCAATTATGCAGATAAATCAAGAGCATGAATCAGTAAATTAAACCTTTCGCTTTATAAATCGTGACTTTGTTTATCTGCTAAAGAAATAAATAAGAAGAAGCCATGAAAAATACGAATAAAGACCTACGATCGAGTTATATACGATCTATAATATTATTAGGTCGTAGGTTAATTGGGATCAACGTCTTCCACTATTTATAATATAAACACACAAACCAACCTATTAGTGATCATGAAGTGCCTGGGAATTCACTGAGGAATTATAAAGCTTCAGATTCTATTTGCAGTCCACCACATACTGATGCATATGACATAATAATCGTTCACTCTATCAGAGCTTCAAATTCATCAATTAAATCTCGTCACGTAAGAAATTGCAGGACTTCTTACTTTACTCTATTTTTTATCTTCTATCTACTCCAGAGAATAGCAAAAGTCGTTAATAAATCATAAAAGAACTTGAATAATTTATACTTCATTTGTAAATTATATATCATTTCTCAATTTAAAATTCACTATGCTACTTGGTTTGTTTATTATAAATTTAATTCGTTATTAGGTAAATGATGAAAGTTGAAATATTATTTTCCTAAATTTTCATGAGTTAATAAAATTATGTTAAATTTAATACAGATTATCTAATATAGCTGAAAGAATGATAAAATTTAATGAATTTTATACGAGAGTTAAAATCCTGTATTCAATATTAAAGAATTTTAAATACCTTTCACTCACCACCCTTCCATCAACGAAGAAGAGTAGCTTTTGCATCAGCTTTTCCCCCTGCCAATGCCATTACCACCACTACATACTAGCCAGAATAGGTTTTTGGATAGAACTTCTACCCAAAACCTCTTGGACATTCGCCACATCCGCACGAACAGACCCGAGGTTAAGAATTGCTCGGAGCAGGACCTCAACTCTACCAGTTCAACCCACATATTCTGGTTGGCCTTTCTATTACGTCAGCGTACAACTCTGATGACGTTGAAACTTGAGCAATTAAAAATTCACTAATTGATCTGCAAAAAAATATGAAGAGAATGAAAAAGAATCAACTAACTAGATTAAAAAAAATTTTTTTTATGCATGACTAAATATTTATTAGTATTGTATATTCAGTTGTCCTAGTTATTTTATTATTCCTACGCTTTCTGCGAATAAAATTGTAAATGAAAATGTCATGTTTGAGTATTCAGTTTGACGAAATGAGATTTTAGTTAAAACTTAAATTTGGACAATTACAATATGTATCAGCTTAAAAACACAAATTTTAATTAATATTCTATCCGTTGTATTTTACTGAATAATATAACTAAAATAATGAAAATTTATTGGTAGCTGAATGTTGTTCGAGATATTATTCGAAAAACTCATTTAACTTATTGTATTTATTGTAATCCACTGAATGTAATCATTGAATTTTATAAGGTATTATCCTATTCAACAGTTACTGTAATCCAACACAATACTTTAGTCTTATTGTTTGTATTATCTCCTGCTTTTATACTTTTCAATGCCTAAACAATCAATTTGCGTTTAACGAAAGCTTTTAATTAATTCTATTCTACATTATATTAGGTTATTTGTTAGTTATTCGCGAAATTAAAAAAATGCTCAATTTAACATAAGTATCAATTAATACACTAGCATTATTGATTAACTCAAACATTGATTAATAATGTTAATAATAAATACACTACAATTATGTTAAATTATTAATGGAATTTCATTACTAAAGCATGTTATTACGTTGGAAATTCCAAAACGTTCAGTAGATTCAATTAAATAAAAATGAATTACAAGTATTTCTTGAGAGCTTAAATTACTGGACACATAGTTAGTATTCAGGAAGTTGAGGACTTCTCGTAAGTGGTCCGTGATTATCAGCTAAAAGCTTCAACGAATTTGTAAGAGATAAACGAAATATCAATGATCATATTTAATAAAAATCTTGAGACCCCGTAGCTTTTTTTTCCTTTAAATTTAGCTATAAATATGTCCTTACCAAACATTTGCTTGATATCTTAAGTGCTCGTGTACGACTACTGGCTCGGAATTTTTTTGATATGACTAAGTGTCTTCAAGCATTCCCAGCGACGTATTACGTATAATCATCAACCAATGGTGCATCATGTCATTCACACAAGATATTATCTGAAATTTTTAAACATATTCATGAATATTATGTAAATTATTTTATTTAAAATAAGTTTAATTTTTTTTATCACAGGTTTACAGTAATGAAATGAATTTATAACTTTTAGATGATTTTAATGATTACGATGATAATAGCAGTCATGATGACATATGTCTAATAATATTCTGAAAAAGAATCAGCAAAATGTTCGATGGCATAATAATACATTTATGATTGAAGATGAAACTTGTTATCATTTAGAGATAACTATTTTCGTATTAAATATTGTTTCAACATTGAAATGTATTCAGGAACATATCTATTTTGAAAGTCAATATTATTGTCAACAATAGAGAAAACTATTTTATTTCTCAACATCGCAATGCCTATTATTATTTAGAAATGATTTCCTAGTCGGTAGTTTGATGTCATGTTCGACAGACTGTTGCCATAATTGAACTACAGAACTAAACTATAAACTATTGTTGTAAACCTACCGTGTACTAATGGATTATAGAAGAGGAAGGAGGCATACATTACTCTGGAACATTGCGACCTACTTGTAGTTTTGAGGAAAATCCATCTATTTCCCCTGTGAATCTTTGTGTCACTATATCCTAACGACCTAACCCTTTAAAGCGTAACACAATCGAGCTTAATTAATCTTGGAAACATTTTTCAATTATTTTAACTTCTCTTGGTACTAAATTTACTCGCAAAAGTTTGGCTCAACCTGACCTACTTATCCTTCCAACTCAAATCCATTTATTTGTTCCGAAAGCTCTTTGATATACCATTCATCCCATTTACAATCGTCTAAAATTACTTTCGTACGTATTTTACCGTCATTTTCATATATTTTAATATTAAATTACCTTTACAAATTAACTTTTTGTTCATTAAAAGCTTTCCCACGATGCGAAGCGTCGACCCGTTCAATTTTTTATGCAATGATGACGCCATCGAGGACGCCAATGAGCCATTTTGTGACCTCTTGCGGGAAAAAAAAGAATTACATCGTATTAATCAATAACTGCTGCGTTGGTAATACAGGTAACTGAAATAGAAGTCTATTTAGTAGTTTAGCGTCGTCCGTAGGCACACATCATTATTTCGCTTAAAAACGTGTATTTATCAGTAATTATTTCATTTTTATTGTTATCTTATAATTATAGTGATAGAAAGATAAGTTCAAGCTATTTTGTTACATAAGTTGATAAACTTTCATGGTGCAATTTAAAATAATCAGAGATTTTTTCAGTCAATTTTAAGAATATACACAGTGCAACAGCTGTTTTTTCAAGTCTATTTTCTAAAAAAATAGAAATATTCGCATTATTAACAAGTAATGAGAATCATTTTTGTGAGAGAATATATTGGTTATTAATTATAGAGTTTATTTTATTTTAAAAACTCATAAGTTTGATAGTAAATCAACTGGTGTTACAAAATAATCCTCATGAAGTTTTGGAATAAAGATGACGCACAATCGACTTGACATTCTATGCTGTATATTGATTTTGTTTACTGCTGTAATTTCCACTAAAGGGGATTTTCAGGATCTCTTCAGTTTACAGGTAACTGTTGATAATAATAATATCTTTTGATTAATTAATTACTTATAATTTAAAAAATATAAATAGCTCGACATCAAACCATTAATTAAGATGTGTAATAATTTTTCTTATTATTATTTGTTATCAGCGTAGAGGAAAACATTTGCCAGAAACGAAATTCGAGTCTAGTGACTACGAAGATTACTCTGATGTCAATGAACCTATACAAGCACCAAGTGAATCTCTTTGGAGCCGAACACCTTTGAGAGATGTTGAGTTGCCACTAATTCAATCGACTCAACAGCTAAATCAATTAAATGTAACTTCTCCGTTGGATCCTCGTAAGTTATTTAGTCCTATATCTATGCTAGAGCTTAATTCATTCACGGATCAACTCGGTTACAGTCGATTAAATTTAACATCCTATCAATTATTCTTTTAGATATCAAATGGGATAAAAATTGGGGAGCAAACTTGGATTATGGCCAACTATCCGCAGTAGATTTGGATCTGAATGGCAATATAGTTCTGTTCTGCAGGAGAGAACGAATATGGGGTCAAGATACTTTTGATCTGAAAAATGTATTCAACCGAAACCAAGGACCTATAAAGGATAATACAATTATTATGTTTAATAAGAGTGGAAAAGTTATTTTAGAATGGGGAAGAAATATGTTTTATTTACCACATGGACTGACAATAGATTTTGAAGGAAATTACTGGATCACTGATGTTGCTATGCATCAGGTGTTCAAGTTCAACGCACAAGATATTGAAAAAAATAAAGATAAATTGAAGAAACTTCAAAATAGCCCACAAGAAGATTTTTCTGAAATTTCCATGACAGTTCTCTTTAGTCAAAGTATAATCAAGCCTTCAATGATTTTGGGAGAAGCTTTTGTACCTGGAAATGATAATCAAAGATTTTGTAAACCAACAGCAGTCGCTGTAGCAAGAAATGGAGATTTTTTTGTGAGTGATGGTTACTGTAATTCAAGAATAGTTAAATTTAACAGCAAAGGTGAAAGAATTTTAATAATTGGCCGAGCTCTTACTTTTAACAAGTTTTTATCACCTTATACGCTGTCGATACCACATGATCTCACACTTGCTGATGATCGTGACCACATTTATGTTGCCGACAGAGAGCATGGGAGAGTTCTGTGCTATTTTGCCGGGAATGGAACCTTCCACAAGGAATTTAGGAGTCCTGTTATTGGTACAAAAATTTATGGAGTAGCTTATGCTAGGGAACGACTTTATCTAGTTAATGGACCTGATCCATTCTCTACAAATAAATTCCATGTACGAGGGTTTGTAATTGATGTTCACTCCGGCGATGTTATATCGCAATTTGGACCTAATGGTGACATGATCGCACCCCATGATATAGCTGTTTCTGATGACGGTAGTGAGATTTATGTACCAGAGCTTTACAATCATGCTATTTATCGGTTCTTGTCAGGTAAAATTTAATCATTTGTAATTTTATTCTATAAATGTATGTTTAAACTATCTATATTTGTGGAATTAAATTAATAACTATGATATTTTTTTTTAGATGAAAGTTTCCGTGAAATAAAAATGAATGTATCCAAGCTAAAGAGTTCAATCGCTAATTCTTCAAAGTCTCATCATTCATTAATTCCCTTAACAGATAATTCAGATGAGAAGTCATCAGGGCATATGAATTTAACTACTTTGATTATGACAATCGTCGTCAGTATTATGATCCTTATCGGATTGTGCGTAGGAATTGCAGCCATCGTTGCACGGTGTAAAAAACGAGGTAGTTTTTCCAGAATTGAAGAAGGAAGTGTTGAATTCACTAAACTAGTCGAATAATTCAGAATTTTTTTTTTTTTTAGTTGCATGATCAAATTTCTATGACTCTCTTTTACTTCTATATAGTTTATTTAAAATAATTTATTATTAATTTTTATATTTTAATAAGCACTAGTGATTTTATTTTTACACTATTATAATTTGTACTTATTTATTATTTATCAAGTACACATTGTTTTCGAGGATTTGCGCAATATTTTTATTTTAAGTTTTTTTACGAACTTTAAACTTTTTATGTATAATTTTTTTTATGCTAGAAAATTTTACTTTTTCTGTGATGTAGCTTCTGATATTCTGAATAAAACAATGATAATATGATCAATATAATATAATATCAATAATCTAGTATTTCTGTTGAAATTATTATTTCAAACAGGCTGTTTATTAGTTCGTAGAAGGGACTATTGGATGAACGAGAGGAAGGATAACTTTAAACTTTCGAGTCTATTTGATACTCGACAAACAAAAAATTTCCGCCTTTTCGATAAAAGACCAAATACTCGAGACTTTAGTAAGTTGAGTACAGAGCCAGAAACTACGGATGACGAACATGTCGAAGACAGTCTTATTATATAATTAAATGGTCTTAAAAATTAAAAAATCAAAAAAAAAAAAAATTAAAAAATAAAAAACTAAATTAATTATAAATGTTGTTAAGTCACACAGTAATTAACTTAGAAAAGCGTTAATGATTTATTGTGTGAAATATAACTAAAGTTTGAAACTTTCTCTAGTCTAAGAAAGCTAATCAGTAATTTTATCATTTAACTAATTTTTTGAAGAATAAAAAAAGTGTGGTTTTACTGACATATCGATACAAATTCCAAAATAATTATTTTCAATAATTCAGGCTTTCAAGGTATTTAATTAATAATTAAAAACATGAAAACAAATGAATATATAATTTTGATGAATTATTTTCATAAAGTTAAGATATTTTAAATATTTATTCCTCTCACAAAAACAAAAATTAATCAAAGTTATATCTGTCTATCTTCTGATTGTAACAAAACGTATATTTTCAATAAAATCCAATATTTATAATGTCTGTTTGATTGAAAGACTCGTGAGTAATAAGGGAATGAATGAATGTTTGAGATGAATGAAGTGATTTCAAACGGTATTAGTAATGTAAATGAACATAAAAGTGAAAATAAAAAAAATGAATGGTCTGGACGAGTTGCTTACGAAGATAACTAACGCGAAATAGTGTTAAGTGACTCGTTGATTACCCCATTACGTATCTTCATATAATGTTAAAAGACTACAGGCTACTTAAACGTTCATTACTAAAGCATTTAGTACATAAATACCACAACCATCAGACTCAGAGAATAAATATATGAATATTTCGTTAATTATTTATTTTTTTATACATTTACTTGACCTCTATACACAACTATACAACGATCAAAATCATTCATTAATTCACTTCTCTCTGTCGCATTCAAAAACAAAATTAAACTTTTATTAATTGTTTCTTAAATCTAAACAAAAATCCTATTAATTAATCATTGCACGTATCAACAGTGTTATATTTAATTTAGAAATACCCTGCTGATGATGACAAAAAACACAAATTGATGTCAATAATTCTACTTTTTATCTGTACGAAAAGGAAAATGAAAAAGTTGGAGAAGATTGAATAAAAAATTATTACACTCTTCTACCATCCTTTTTGTACATTAAAAATCGTATACATTCGTAATAATACATCGACAACTGCCTAAATTTATTATAATAATCGATTACTTTTTTTTCGTTAATGTATTGTTTAAATTCGTAACTAGAATAATTAATCTTTACTGACGGTATTGATTCTATCTATTATAGCAATCGTTTGCTTTATTCGTCATTTATTTTTATGTTAATTTTTAATTTTTTCAACTTTATCTACCCTTGTAATACCGTAGCAGACTGCAGGCTGAAAAAAACCCTTAGTCCTTATAATATCACAATGTCGAAGTATACTCACGTTTCAATTTATTTCATTTTCAATTAAATCTTTAATTATGTTGCTTATCATTTTACCTACTAAATATACCTATTTTTTTTTATATATTTATCAATATTATTATTAATTAATATTAGCATTATTATTAAATATTATCAGTAAATGTATATATTATTTACAAAATTATTTGCCTTTCTCATATGGCAACAACCCAATTCTCTATTTCTTAGATTTTTTTATTTAATATGCACGGGTAATAATATAGAATAACTTATTTAGGAATTAAATATAACACGGGAAACGATGTTAAACTCTTTAATAATACGCTTTGGGTTTCAATTATTTCTTTTTTCCATTGTAAATATTATAGCCGCAGTTTTTTTATAATAATTTCGAATAATTTTTATAATGGTAACAATTTTTGTTTGATAGACTCACTATACAAAATTATTAGATTGTTTATTCGTCATTAATTTTTGGAAGCAGAATTAATTATGTCTCGGGAATTTTTTATTTCATGGATGGTTTGATGAATTATTTAAGAAATGGATAAATTATTAAAAATTTCTAAGGATTACCATATTATTAATAACTCATAAACTTTCATTCATATGAGAAGTTGCACTGGTGTTATTCTATTGTATTTACATCAGCCCTTATTATTTTTAACATGAAAATAATTTATCGCATACCATGAATTGAATATTAAATCGTTTTAATCATTTAAATAATCAATAAGTTTCTCTCTTATATTTGCATTACAAATATTCGTAGGAAATAATATTTATTATCTCAATGGGATCGATATTATTAAATTATTTTAAAATTTTTTTCACATAAGTCTACTTGAAATAAATAAGGAGTAAGACGTAATTTTAAAACTCATTAATACAAATAAAAAATAAGATACTTTAATGTCATTTCTATACACAATAATCTTTTCTTTTTTATTTAAAAAGAACAAAATACTTTCAACTCAATAAATCATCTAGAAACTAATGATAAACAATTAGTATATTTTCAAATACTTTCTTATATATACAACAATCTTGATTATTTTAACTACCTTGATCTCTCCATGAATATTTGCATTGCAAATATTCGTAATAAGTAATTTTAAAGACTTGAAAAATAAATAAAAATCGGCATAAAAAAGGAAAATAAAAATTTCCAACCGAAGAGAAGAAAAAATTAATTAAACAAAAATAAAATAAAAATAAATTACCGACTGTAGACTTTGAATTGAAACAAAACATTCAGTCATAGTGCAAATAAGTCGTGTCTATTTTTCCTTAGTAAGTTTGCATAACTCTTGGCAAACTCCAGAATAAATTTAGAGTAGCCTTCCTACAGCTCCTGCAAGTCTTGTGGATTTTATTCTCAGTACACTGAACTGTATTCGAGATCATGGGATGAGTATTGTGGTGGGCCAGAGGGTGGAGGTGGCTGAGGACTGTATTGCTGGGAGGCGTCGGAAGCACGACGCCTAAGCGCCGCGATGCTGTGCGCACCTCTCCAATCCGTAGCTTCTCCGGCACTCCCATCCGCACTACCAACGCAGGAAACGGCACCACCACTACCGGACGCAGCACCCGGCGAGCCCTGTCCGCAATTCATTCCACTACCCCCTAAACCTCCTCCACCCTGGCCACCGCCCGTCGACGAAGCACCTGGTGGAGAGCCGCGGGACGCCGTCACGTGAATTCCACCTGCAACAAAAAAAAATACCTCTTTAATCCTCACTATCACCAATACACGTGCTCTCTTTTCATTCTTTTGAATATTTTAGAACAATTCTTTGATATTTATTGAAATTTTACATCGTCATTTTCACTCTGTACATCAAACGTTTCCTATGAGCTCTATTGATTTTTTAATTTTATTGTATTATTAACAAGATTGTTGTAATTAAATTACTAACAACTCAAATTAACTAATATGAATAATTATTTATACAGTTATTTTTTAAAAAAGAGTTGAGGTTTATTTTTATTGTAAAAAAAAAAAAACTGAAACAAAAATTAGCATAAAAATATTAAAATATGTCCAACATGTTTTATTAATTTTTTGTTTCATTATTATTTCATGACATGGTTTTTGGAGTATTCACAATAACAACTCAGTAAAATGAAGATTTTTTTTTAAACGAGTCTAGATTAATTTATTTAATTACCATTAAAAAGTGAAGCAAGTGCTTATTTCTATTGAATTTAATTAGTCTGTTATATTACATTTTTAATAAATTTTTCTTAAAATAATTTCAACTAATAACTGATTGTTTCCATGTAAAACATTTCATATCTCAAAATATTAATAAGAGAAAACTAAGGATTTACTTTCACTAGAAGAAACTGAAATAAAAAATTAACTCGATGATGTGAGACTTAAAAAATTTCCTTCTTTCTGGGGATATCTTCTTTGGTGGTCTCGGAAAGTCCAGTATGTGAATATGAAATTATTTTATTACACTTTTCTTCTTTCGCTTTTATGACTTTTTATGAGTTCTAAAGTCACATTATGAGGTGTTCGATGTTTGTAAAGGACAGAATATATCTCTTGAAACATGACGGCAAATTTAAATCGTGTTAATTAACAGTTCATAGAGTAGAGTCTCGTTCAGTAGCCGTCGGATGAGAATATATACATAACTCTCGTAGCATATGATCTCGCGCCTCAAGTGCTAATCATCATTGAAAACCAAAAAAAATGGAGCCCCGTTCTAAAAGCTATTTGCGCAAGTCGTTATCCGTTAGGATGTATTTCGATAGATACTTTCTGCTACCAAGCTTTCCAAAGTACGCTCAAGTATTTTGTACAATTTGCAAATAAATGTTTCTGAATACTTATAAAATTAAATAATTTTTTTACATACTCCATGATATTATCATCATCAACATTATTGTTATTATCAGAAATTTTAAACAAATTAACTCCGGTTGTAACAATATTTAATTCGATGGAATCATTAATTAAGTTCATTCTTAATTGAAATAATTTGGAATGCATTGAAATAAAAACTGAAGTACTTAAGCAGGGGAATGGTTATGATCATGAAATATTATTTCAATGATTCAAAATAATTTTTATGCTATTGAATAAAATGTAATTGGATTGGATTTTATTATTGAATATACATTCAGTTATTTTGCAATGGAATATTTGGAAGCCAAAAAGAATCAAGTAGCAATTTAATGATTATCCCAGTCATAAAAACTGCGACCAATTTAAGTAACTGCTTCCTTGTGGCGATAATTTGTGATAATTGACACCACGTTCTGTATACGCAATAATGTATGATGTGTATTACAGTTGAGTACATCCAGTTATTTTTCGAAAAGTGTAACCATGGTCAAAAAAATTATGGATGATACCAGAAGAAGAATAAATAAAAAGTAAGGGAAGAAGATGTAAAAAGAACAAATCTACATGGATGGGAAAATAAACTAAAAAATGGAATGTGAGTGAAAAAAACAGCAATTCCTGTGAATCGTGAATAATTTTGGAGGTTCATCAACTTTGAACACACGTTGCTGCGAGTACTTTTTGGAAGTAATAATATGAAATGGATACTGTTGGACAGTGTTTAAAGCAGAAAAAAAATAAAACATAAAAAAAGAATAAAAAAACAGACTGCATCGGGATGTTATGGTAAACATACAGCGAAAGATCTCACACCTAGGTGCGACCACCTTGAGGTCTCACTGCGCAAATACAACTCGATGGACTTTATGTTTCTGTCTCAAATTCTTTACATGCAGCCTCGTTTCACAGCTGACCCCTGGAATTTTTTATTTCTTGCTATTCTATTTAATTTATTAATAAAACAAATAATTAATTCACTTATTATCTAATTTTTGTAATCATTTTCATAGCTATTATTCATTATTTTAATTAAAAGAATTCATTACCAAGTGAATTAAGTCCATAACTTGCTTGGTAAACTGTTTGAGATGGACTACTGATTGGCAGACCAGAGTTACCAAGACCCAGACTAGAACCAAGACTTCCTGAAGTCTGCTGACTTAACTGGCCTAAACTTTGCCCAAAACTTGCCATTCCCATGCTTCCTTGACTCAGTTGACCTAATCCTGATAAAGTAATTAAGCAGTCGTTATTAAAAAAATTTTTAAACTCATGAAAATTAGCTAATTAAATATTAAAATATATTTTCAAATATGGCAATAAGAATCTTAATGAGTTAATTCACCTGGACCCATTCCCCATCGATCGGCAGGCGCATGAAACATTCCAGCAGCTCCACAAAGATCTGAACCCATCGCCCCGAAAGGCGGAAGTCCATGGGACGGTAGCAGAGCTCCTGGTGTTCTGAACACGTTCGTTGTCTTCTTACGTTTTTTCCATTTTGCTCGACGGTTTTGGAACCAGACCTAGAATAAGACAAATAAAATTAATATCTTTATTCCAAGATTTTTTAATAAAAATTCTAAAGATGATTAACAATTAAATATTTTTGTAATAAGAATATTATTAACTTTGTAAGATTATAAACTCATTAATTATAAAAATATTTTTCAAAGAGCTTTTTGAAGTAGCGAAGCAAGTAAGGAAATGAACTTTTAAAAGATGTATAATAAAAATGTTCTTCTTTTTTACTTCAATAAACTTCACATTTTATCATAAAATGTAATTTATGTATTAAAATAATATTTACAAGATTGTAAAAAATATACATAAAGATTATGAGCACATTCTTGGTGATTAGTATTAAAGGTATAAGGTATCATGTGAAACGATAAGGTGTCCCTTGGTGTTACTACAATATCTTGAAGCCCCACACACCCGCTAGAAGCTATTAGCCAACGTTATGAGCTGTTGATTCTGGCCACGTAGTGCCCCCTAAGCTGCTGGGGTCCCAGCAACTTGATTTATTGATATCGCATGCAAAGCCCTTCTCTCTGTTTCTCTCACTCCCCAATCTCTATACCCTCTTTCTCACCAGTCTCAACAATATAGCCTCCTCATTCACCATTGCTACTGCATTGTGTGCGTTGTACATCTCCAACACTTGCATGGCTACTGGCCTTCCCTTTCCTGCTTCAACATTCGCTGTGCCATTTCGTATGTGCTTTCCCCATAAATTAGTACTTTGGCATTAGCACGCGAGCTGACTTGTGCACTACTACTGTTGGTACACATTGCACTGCACTATTGTACATGGATTATTTTAGTCTAATTGGATTTATACGATTTATCTTTGGTTTGTTTCAAGTGCTAGCCACGTTTACCAAAACATCTCATTTCAAAATTAACCTTGAGCTCGTGGCTAACATCATTTCTATTTTACTACATTCATTTAATGAGAAGCTTTAAAAGGTCTTCAGTAAACATTTTTTTAATTACATGGATTTATTCTTTGTACTTATGGCAATATTAGTACTAATGAATAATTATATTTTATTAAACAACTTTATCTATGTGAATTTTCACAGATAAAATAACGTTAATTCTTCAACAGAAGAGAGACTCTGCTCAATTAATTCCAATTCTCCATGAAAAATATTAGAATATACGATCATTTATGAATGAGAGTTATTCTAATATTTTTGTTGACTAGAGTTTTCACTTTTAAATGTCATAATTCTGTTGTTTCTAGGAAAAAATTAGCATAATTAATCAAATTTTGTTTAGTGTTACCAATTAGTTAATTAATGTTCTCCACACTTTCTAGATTCGTTTTAGAATAATTTTACTTTTACTACTGTTCTGTTGTCTGTTAATGTTTTTAAATGGTTTAAGGAAATGAATTTTAAAAATATTTCTCCAGTCATACTATTTTTTTTAACTCGTATTACCATCATCCCTTGTTGAATAATTCTTCTGTTCACCCTTCGTTTCATCCTGTTGGGTGCGGTCTTGATGATTTCACACTAGAGCAAAGATTTAAAAGCCCGTAGATAATTCGCTGCTGTTGCACGATGAGCTTCAAGACAATGAAAGATAACTGGAAGGTGTGGAACAAATCACACCCTTTCATTTTTTATTGCCAAGTTTATTCGACATTCCAACATGCATTGCTATAAAAAATATTTGTTCTTGATCATTGATGAATTTCCAAAGTTTACATGTTTGATTCTATAAGTTTTCCTTGGTCAACTCCATTAATAAAAACTTTGAAGGCTATCAGAACAAAGCTAACACCTTTGATAGTCAAAATGACTATGAAATGATGATTTTGATGATTAGAACAATCATGCTCGTTAAGATTAGTCAATCACTTTTGACTGGCAGATGTTCTACTTGGTAAAACACCTGGAAGTATTGAATCACCATTCTGAATGAGCACAGCAATAAAATATCGATTATCTAATTAAACTCATCAGGTAGGGATTGATGATTAAATTGTTTTTATTTTAAATACTCTTTACAAATAGTTGAATAAATAATGAAATAAAAAAGATTCTTTGACTGAAAAAGTTTAAAGGCTTGAATTTGTCTTTTATTCTGCTTGGGGATGATAGGTCTCGTAAAAGGGGTTCAGGACACGCTGATATAAATTGAGCTTGCCATCAAGGTAAGCGGCGGGATCTGTTTGAAGCTTCAAGACATATCGCACCAGCTTCCACTTCGCCATTGAGCGATCGCTGAGTTTTCTCGACAAAAAAATTTCTGAGGGAATCTTAGCATCAATAAAAGTCGCTGAAAATTCCTAGAATTCTATATTGAATAGTTGAAACGATTTTTGAAATCTGCTGTAATTTTTTTTATGCTAAATCTATCAAGAGTCTTTACTTTTCAGTTCTAAATAATTTATTCTCATCAATAATACATCAATTATTAATAATTTTTAATTTATGATCAACAAAAATTAAACAGTTTATTTTAAAATAAGAAAATGTTTTTGATTGTAGATATTTTTTTAAAAAGTAAAAATATCAATTGATCGTTGTCATTAGTTTTTCTTCATGAGAAAAAACAATTCATTGATTCACATGTATTTTTTTCTCATAGAAATAAGTAAAAAGGCAATGTGCAAAACTAGTACACGCTTTTCGGATTTTCTTTCCTCTATTGGGACGACGTGGTGAGATTTAATGAGAATAAATATTGTATAAACTTGCGGGGTGACTTCTGATTGATGATAGCGGTCGGACGATCCCATTGGAGGGTGGCAAGACGCATTACCTCTTAGACCACCTACTGTTCTCTTACTATCTCCCATTCTCTAGCTTTTCTGATGCCTTTCCTCTGTCTCTCATGTTGTATGCGTCCAGTGAAAAAGTCTTTGGCGGAGCCATTAGCGTTCGTACGACCCTCGATAATCGATTAGACAAGAAACCAAGAGGAAAAACGTTAGAAAAGTATATAAACCGTCTTGGAGATTTTCAAAGTTATGATGAAGAGCTTTATGAGGCTATAAAATAGCTTCTCTACTAGAATATCTAGGTATATAAAATGCTTTGGACTCTGTAATGTTTTTTAAATAATCTCTTGAGAGATACTAAATAAATTACCACCATTCGACAAACATCAGAAATGCATCGGAGTTGAAAAGATGACGGAAAAGTAAAAGATCGTAAATGAAAACTATAAAAATCTAAGCTGTAGTCTCGCGTGCAATGTTCCTCATAAAGTTGATCCATTTATGTTTTATTATTATTTCACACCTGGCAATACTGTTGCCTATATTTTTAAGCTCGTCTTTAAATTAATTGCAATCACTGCTTCGTAAATGTTTGCTATTTTTAGACAATTTTTCAATAAATAAAAACAAGATCAAATTTTTCTTCAGTTCAAACGATTAATTTTGCTATCAATAAAAGACTTTCTGAAATTTTAATTCCAATCTTTTGATAATAAATGATTTTTTTTTTTTGATTTATCAATGTAAAGCATAATATCAAGATGTTATTTTATGTTTAATTGTGTAGAAAAAAATGTCCAATCATTGAAAAATAGAAAAATAAAATCGAGCCAATAAAACTAATCAAATAAAGCAATTAAATCAGTAACCAGGATGACAAAAAAAAATTTTCAACTACAAAAAAAATAAAAACTGAAAAATGACGTATAAAAAATGTGTGTTAAGCTAATTGGAAATATTAATCGGCAGTTTAATATACTTTTATTGATGTTTATAAACGTGATTTCTTATCTGGAGGATTTGAAGCAGGGAATAGACATATAATTCGATGTAGGGGAGTAGGTGCGACATCATAACCAAATGGGCGTCGAATGATGCTCCCTTGGGTGACCGCGACGACACAGTTTATCCATTGAGAATCCCCATTCTCTATATACAACCCCTCAGACTTGCTATTCTCATACCACAAATTTTTACTCACTATCTTTATTTTTTCTCCTCGTTTCTCTTTCCTTCTCTGCCACCCACTTTAAGCATATTTCCCTGTCTGGACTACCCCTATGTACATTATACGCGTTATATTTTTCAAACGACGACACGTAAGAGCTAATATCGCGACCTATGCATATTTATACCGCATTAAAAATCATCCTCCCTTAAAATGCATAGGCCGTTGCATACCCAAGACGTTATTCGTTATTTTTTCCTTCCTCGTGTATCTTTCTTTCATTTTTCTCATATATGGGCTTGTGAATATTATAATAATACAAATGATGAGTTTAACAATACTTTGGTGAGAAGCTTAAATAAAATTAAAAAAAAAAGGTCACTTTTAATTGGAAAAAAATTAATTTTTTAAAAATTAGAAATAATTTTTTTTACCACTAAAAATATTAAATTATTAGCTTGTTTATTTTACTAATATTTTTAATTATTAATTTATAAAAAAAAAAACCAACAATTATTTTTAAAAAATATGTAAAAGAAATGATTAAGAAACTAAATGAGACTAATTACTTATTGTTAATAAATAATATTTGTTAATTTTTTATATTAAGATAAAAGAAATAATTAACAGGCATTTTTTATTAATTAAAACAAGTATCTTCATTTTTAAATTAATTATTTAATTAAATGAAGTATTATATTTTATTTCAGTTTCTTTGTAAATAATTGTATCATAAAAGCTATATTAATAATTTTTAGTTAAAAGCTTCTTAAAATGAATTCTCTGTGTAGTCACTAAAAATAAATCAAATCATTTTTGAATCGAAATAGCAATAAAATATTAGACACTTGGTTTTTTGCAGACACTAGCCTGTCTCTAGAGAATTGGAAACGACACTACCATCAGTTGAATCCTCTAGAGAATACTTTGAGAGCAATGCAACATCTATTCCACCCCATATGTGACTTTAGGTCATTCCCATCCCAGAAGTTCATTAACCATTTCAAGTCAGTAAGCCAATCTTTCATTTCCTCTTGCACTATCGATTTTCGTATATTTATAGAAATGAAAAATAATCAGAGATAATTTTAACGAATAAATTAGTGGATAATGCGTAT